ATCATGTTGGAAATACTCGGCAATTATTATAGAGGTTTCCTCGACGTCATAACCATGTTGCGCAAACGAGCTATAATCAAATACATGTCTTGCTCAGCTTTTCCTCCAATTAGTTACAACTTAGTAATAAATGCTACCGAATTCTATGTAGAGTTCAACATAAAATTATATTCCGAATGTTGTAATGACACTGCTTGTTTCTATTTGGTGACCATGGCTACAGTTGGTTCTATGTGACCTCACTTTATGCTTAGAAATGTGTTATATTCTTAATATAGTTAAATATAAATTATTTCCCTTTTTCTTCCTCTTTCAATTTTCTATCCTTATTTTGGCTCTCGCTAATATCATCGAGTTTTTCATTTTCTTTTTCCCTTCCCTATCTACTCATATTTTGACTTTTTTAAATATCTATTTTACATAATGGTTGTTCATGTCAATTTCTGATGGCTTCTCTAGGCTTCTAGATTTAGAGTCTTCTTAATTTGATTTTGTCGCTCTCTTTTATCATATTTCTCTTCATCGCTTCTAGTACCTGATATGACGCTTCTTTGCTCCACCTCTCGAGACCACTTGATTCATGTATTTGATCCTGCGCAGGACTATCAGCTTGTGCAGACACTGGCTGATCACTCTGGCCCAGTCTACTCAGCGCACATCGTGGAAACTGAAGAGGAACATGAGATTCGTCTTATTTCTTGTGGCTTAGACAAATCTCTTCTCTTCCGTATCCTTGAGGTAACTTTATTTAAAATATGCTAATTTTTTTCATCTTAATATGTAAGTTGGCCATAGATTGTAATCAAAGTAGTTAGATTTGTAATTTAAATAACTCCATTTTGTCATTACCATCCACCATGTAATCTGATCTTACCTATGCATGGGAAAAAGCGTTTTTATTTCATTCTCCTCTGAAAAAATCTTATTTTGTGCTAATGCATATTGAATTTCCTGGTTAGGTGAATTTAGTGGCTGCCATACAAAACTAACACAGATTACAGTGAGATAAATAATGATAGAAGGGATTAGATTTATTTAAATCCATTTTGAGGCATTCCTAAGCTAATGATGAATTGAATTTTGATGTTTTTCTAGACCTCAATATATTTGTATACACTATTTTCATCAAAATTTTTAAGAATGGTTTATTAGCTATTATCTTCGCGCAAGCAAAGTAGATTCTCTTTCATAGACCATATATTCAAGTACTTCAATTTAGTTCACTATCCCTTTAATGTACCATATTTTCTTTAAGGGCAAGTCCATGACCATAAAAACTAAAAGATCGGCATTTAACA